AGGCGGCGATGACAAATTAAAACGAAAAGGAGTCCCGTGACGTGGAGACCTCTCACAGCCACCAACCAAAGAACAAATTGATGTTACTGGTAATGAGTCTCCCCTCAAAGGATTTATTAGAGTCTTCACAACCATCTGGGTGCAATTCGTTGCAATCACAATCGACTACTTCTGGACATTTGCAGTGTTTGCAGGTATCTTTTTGGGGATCCACTACGATGAGGGGTCGATGAAACAGTCTACATCGGCACAAATAACAACATTCATGTACATGACAGGAGATATGTTGGCGCGTTTGCTCTACTTCATCCCAATACCCTTTAATAAATGGGTCATCTTTGGGTTTTCGTGTGTGAGGTGTGTATTATATGTTCCTATTTTCATTTACTATTACAACGTCTATACAAACCCGTACCTCATGTTCTTCATAATGTTGGTGTTTTCTGTGTCTCATGGATACTTTGGATCGTGGGCTATGCAGTTGGCGTACAAGTCTGTCAAATTCACTGATATGAACATCACTGGAGGTTTGCTCGCATTAGCCCCAGATATAGGACTTGCATTCGGTGCGACAGTTTTGTTCATTCTGCAACTCGTTTTACCTTCCAACGTCCAAGCGTCGGATTGACTTTTGGGTTGCTTGTTTGTAACGTTTATACAATACGTTTATCTTCTAAACAACTAATTTTATTATTTTTTAATAATAACAAAATAAAAATTCTGATCAAAATTATGAAAGTATAAAAAATATATACTTTCATAATATATTATGTTTTAATATAAAAATACAATAAAACAAGTATTAAGGTTAGTTAGTTTATTATTGAATTAATTAACCAATTTAATTATACTTGTCATTAAATAAAACAATAAATTACTATAATTAAATTAAAGCATTCAATAAGTATCAAATAAGAATAACTTAAATTTATTGGGCTTGGATCTGTACCAAGTGGAAATAGATTCCTTCGTCTTTCATGAGCTGATCATGTGTGCCCTGTTCACACACCTTTCCTCCGCTAAGTACAACAATGATATCGGAGTCTTTAATTGTTGACAATCTATGCGCAATTGTGATGCTTGTGACACTCTTTGCAATTCGATCAATAGCCTCTTGCACGATTTTCTCACTCTCTGAATCCAACGCACTTGTTGCTTCATCGAGAATGAGTAACTCGGGTTTTGTGATAAGAGCTCTTGCAATGGCGATTCGTTGTTTTTGTCCTCCAGACAGCGACGTTCCTCTCTCTCCAATAATCGTGTTATATCCTTGTGGTAACTGGCAAATGAAGTTGTGGCAATTTGCCATTTTTGCTGCATTTACAATAGCCTCCATATTCTGTGAAACAAGATTTTCACCACCTTCAAGATCCTCGTCCGTCCATGAACCACACATTCCACTCACGATATTCTCTCCAATTGTTCCAGCGAACAGCAATGGCTCTTGTCCGACATACCCGATTTTGTTTCGTAAAGTCGCCAAGTTGTACTCTTCAATGTCTTTTCCGTTCACCTTGACAACACCCTTCTCTGGTCTGTAGAACCGCTCAATCAGTTGGATAATAGTCGATTTACCACACCCACTCGGTCCAACCAGCGCCACTGATTTTCCCTTTGGGATGACAAACGACGTTCCATCCAAAATTACTTGTTCTGGTCTTGTTGGATATCTGAACTTGACATCAGACAACTCGATATTATCAATCTCGAATTTCTTTTCACCCTCATCACTGAATGGGTTTTGCGGTGATTTTCTGTCCAAAATCTTGAAGATGGATTCGGCGGCCACTTTGGCATTTCCAAAGTCTTGCATATATGTTGCTGCGAAACCGACACTCATGGCACCAAAAATGATAGCACACGCACTTTTCATGATGTCTTCCATACCGTGTGGTTTTTTCTGTAGTTGTTGACCAGCCACATACATCAATACAGCGTATTTCCAGAAAATGAACGAGTGCACCCAGCCAAGAACAAGTCCCTGTACAACAGCCCCAAACGGCGCTCTCTTTGCTGGGACAATCAAGTAGCTGCAGTACTTTTCCGAGAAGTAGTCTTCCTTTGCCAGCATCTTAATAGTTTTCATATTTTCGACAGCTTCGGTCATCAAGTTCTCTGCATTGGCATAGATTTTTGTCTCTGGTCCCGCGAATCCAACCGAAATGCTCAACTGTATGTACGTGTTGAACACAATAAAAGGCACGAAAATAGTTGCCACCCAAGCAATCGTAACATTTCCCAAATACCCAAGAATGAGACCAATGATCAATGAAAACGCACAGTGAATCAAAGTGCCAATCAAGTTGCCAGTGACTCCATTCAACTTTGTTGCGTCAGCTGCAAGTCTTCCCGACAATCGACCAGTTGAGTTCTCTTTCTTGTCGAACCATGCAATGTCCTGCCTGCAAATAGCTGTAAATGACACCTTTCTTACTCTGTATGTCAAGAACTGCCCAGACATTTCGAAAAACGCCTTGTGGAGATACGTCGATATGAACGCTATACCAGACATTCCAACGAAAATGTAAAAGTACTTCATTACCTCGTCGTCGTCTTTGACACCGGTGAGATAAATCTTCACTAAAGTGACAATTGACTCAACCAAGAAGTACGAAAATGTTGGGAATAGGGCACCGTAAATCATTGAACCAATAAACCCAAAGCACATCCACGGAAGTTCCTTTATATTCATTCTAAACACTCTTCCAAACACTAAGAAATGAGCAGAGAACTTCTGCCAAGCAGTTCTATTATCATCGTCAAGTTGTAAGAAGCTTGTGTTCTCTACTTTCTCATCTGGTACCACATCTTCTTCAAGGTCTTCATCATTTTCAAATTTGTCCTTCTCCTTCTTGCCCATCTCTTGGTTTTTGACCAATTTATAAAAGAGACCCTCGAGTTCCATCAAAGCCTTGTAATCTCCATCTTCAACAACTTGTCCATGATCAAACACCAAAATTCTCGACGCGTCTCTGATGGTAGAGAGTCTGTGGGCGATAATGACTGATGTTCTCCCAGCAGAGGCCTTGTCCAATGCTCTCTGTACAATCTTTTCTGATTTAAAGTCCAACGCACTTGTCGCTTCATCAAGAATGAGCAACTTTGGGTCGTTCATCAAAGCTCTCGCAATGGAGATTCTCTGCTTCTGGCCTCCAGAAATCTGAGCACCTCTCTGGCCAAGGACGGTGTCAAATTTGTTTGGAAGGGCATTGATGAAATTGAACGCATTGGCCATGTGTGCGCATTTGATAATTTTCTCTTCAAGTTCTGGCAACTTCAAACAGTCTTGTGGATCGTCTGTGTCGTGGTAGTGTGACGTCAAAACAGCTCGATCAGCACCAAGGGCAATATTGTCTTTGATCGAAATGGCAAACAGAGAAGGCTCCTGTCCGACGACACCAAACATGCTTCTGTACTCAAACAAGTCAAACTCCTTGATGTCAATTCCATCAATCATAATCTTTCCATCAACCGGCTCGTATAATCTCTGCAACAAGCCAATGATAGTGGATTTACCACACCCGGATGCTCCAACCAAACCGACAGAGTGGCCAGCCTTTATTTCCAAGTTGAAGTTGTTCAAAATCAGCATGTCTGGTCTTGTTGGGTAACAGAAGGAGACACCTTCAAAGACAATGTTTCCTTCTTTGATTTCGGTGATGTGTCTTCGGCCAGTGTTTCTGATCTTTGGCACTCTTTCGATAGTCTTGAAGATTCTGTACGCAGCAGACGTTCCCTTGAAGATTGAACCAACGGGTGTGGCAATCTGCGAAAGTCCTAAAGTACCACAAAGAACGGAGAAAATGACAATAGCAAGCTTACCAGCAGTCATGTTTCTGTCCTGCACTCTCTTTGATCCATAGATGTATCCGATCCAGAAAGCGCAGAAAACAAAGAAGAAGAGGAGCCCGGTGGATCCTCCCATTGCGTGCGCGGCATAGACACCGACGTGGAGTGAATGTTTCAGGGTCTGGAGATATTGTTGAATTCTCGACTTTTCAATTCCAAGAGCAGCCACCGTTCTCATATTGGAAATGGTCTCCGAAGCAATTCCACCAGCAATGGAGTATGACGCTTGGGTACTTGAAGCACTTCTGCTCTGCACAAAAGCAAATATACCGGCAGCACCGGCCATCAACGGGGCAATAGCAATCATCACAAAGCACAACTTGTACTCCTTCACAAATCCAATGACATACCCAGTAATACACATTCCTGTGTAACTGAAGAACTCACCAACTTTCTGCCCAATAGCATCGTGGAGCAGATAAATATCTCCAGACATTCTCGATGTCATCTCACCGGTGTTGTGTGCATCGTACCATCCCATCTCCTGGTCGAGTAAAGCCTTGATATAGAGCTTTCTGATTCTTCTGATCTGGTTATTTCCAGTCAGGTCGAATATGATAGTTCTGATCATCGAAGAGAAGAAGAGCCCAACACCGATATATACAAGTTTCAAGCATACTTGGTTACACAAATCTACCATCCCAATCGGGTCCAGAGCAATTGGGTTGAAGACGTTAGACTCAAAGACATCACCGAGAAGCACAGCAATGAGTGGATAGAGCACACCATCGACTAAAGACACAACCACGGCAATAAGGTTGAAAACAACTTCGTACCACGTGGCGTATCTGAACATGGTGAATACAGAGACGGTACCTTTATCAGTGACTCTTGGAGCCGCAGCCAAAAGGTTGTTTGGGTCTGGAGTGACGTCGAACACGTCGAAGTCATCAGTCATCAGTTGCATCTCAACATTTGGCGAGGATGTCGACATGGTTTAGAATGGCCTTTCCCAGTTTTTTCTTCCCTTAAATGTCCCTTTGTTACGAAAAAATGAGAGGGGAGGAAAGAGCCGGCTTACAGCTCTTTTTTTTGGGGGCGTGTTTGCTTTTTTCTCTCATTGGTCTTTTTTCCATGAACTTCAGCAAAAACCAATTTGACATTTTTGGGAATTAAAGATGTATCTCTCCTCTCACTCTTTTTTTGGATTCAATTAGTGACACGTTGATTCAATTATGATGATTTACCGTCTTCATTTTTTCACTTCATTTGCATTTGTTTTTCTCTCGTTTTGCTGCTCTTTTTCAAAAATAGTTTCTAATAATTCATTTTTAATTACATTATAATTAAATTCAAGTTATTAACGATCCACCTCAAGGAGAAAGGCGGAACAAAAAAAAAGGTAAAAATTGCTGGAATTTAATGAAATGTTAAATTTTTGTGCAAAACACTTTTCAATTTGTCGAAAAGTTTTTAATTGATAAGTGGATTGGTGCTCCCAAAAAGTATTCTAGTCGAATGAATGTCATTTCTAAACCATTTGATATGGATTTTTTATTAAAGTTTTTAGTTTCAAGACACGTGGCAATTTCCATTTTTGAAACACATTTAATCTTCATAATATATAATAATATATAATAAACAAATAGTTATATTAAATTAAGAGCAAAGATTTTTTGTTATTGGTTTTAAATAATATTTTTTTAATATTTGAATTAGCAAAATTTTTAAATAACTTGAATATTAAAAATATAAATTACTTATTTTTACAAAAACTACCTAATCATTACTTTTAGTTCGTTTTTAATTCATCAAAACTAAAGAAGAGTGTTATTTTTTATTAATAAAAAATGTATTATTGTGTTACGTGGCACAACGTTGATAGTTCTTTGTTTTATTAAAAAACTATTTATTTAATAAATAAATTATTAAAAATGAAAAAATATATTTGATAATTGTAATGGAAGTTGAAATTATAAAAAATACAATAAATAATTACTAGAATAAATAATATATTTAATTATATAAATATAATAATTATTAAAAAATAAAAAAAAATTAATAATAAATATTGTTAAACAAACAAAACATTTTTTATAACAATAATAAAAAAATTATAAAATAAATTAAAGTGAATTAGTAAAAACAAAATTCAAAAAGAAGAGAAAGAACTTATCTCTTGTTTTATCATTTTTATCAAAAAACATAAATTAAAAAATATAGTTAAATGTATTAATAAAATGGTAAAAATTCAAAAAAGAAAAATAGCAACGGTACAAACTTTAAAACCAGAGTAATGCTCCTCTTTATTTGGATTACTGCAATTTTGGCTCAGAACTGTGAAGGAGACGATTGTGAGGACAAAGTCGAGCAAGACCACACATACATGACTTATGGAAGCACTTTTAAACTCCGTCACATGATGTCGGGGACAAGACTCCATTCTCTTCAAGTCACTTATGGAATGGGATCGGGCCAACAAGCCGTCACCGCCATTCAAGACCTCGACGACACAGGAAGTCTTTGGATCATCAAGTGTGCAGACAAAAAGTGCAAATCTGGGTTTGTCATTTTTACTATATTTTATAGTTTATATTATTATACTTATATTATTCCGTTCATTAGATTAGTATAGTATGTTTTACCATTTTTCTTCATTACTATAAAAAATAGTTTTTCAATAGTTTTTGAAACATTATGGAAATAACAGACAGACAACCAGTTAAAGAGGGTGATGTCATTGTGATGACGCATCTATTGACAAAGAAGAATATTCACAGTCACCACCAACTCTCCGAAATCACAAGACAACAAGAGGTGAGTGCGTTTGGTAACGATGGTGTTGGGGATGGAGGAGATTATTGGATTGTAGAGCCCGAGAAGAGTGGCTTTTGGCTTCTGAACGGGTTCATTCGATTGAAGCACAA